GTGAAGCGAACGGCACTCATCGTATCGTCATTGGTTTTCATCTTGACCCTGATTAGTCATGGTATTAAACGTAACCTAACCTAACCCAGCCCAGTCGAACCTAGTCGAACGAAAGGTCCTCCATTCACTGAATAATTAGCAAACCCATACGAATACGAGTCACAGTAAAAACAACTGTCACGAATATACGTGAGATATTCAAGCTCCAATGAATTTTATCAATAAATATGCCATACGCGAGTACCACATGGCCACGAGTAAGCATCAAGTATGTATACGTATATGACCACCGAGCGAGATACCGCCGCCATTATTACTCGACATTCCAGTCCGCCAGGAGGTTAGGTTATGTCACCCACACCAAACTATTTTATGTCGTATAATAAAGTGAATATCATATCTCGCCGCTTCGGTTTACTCGGACATTCCCACAATTTCTGCGCGTCTCCACACCCTATATTTTACTTCGACATTTTCCGACAGATCGGATTCCGATCGAAATTACGTAGTGCTCACGCGGCCCGCCAGGTGTCTCATATATGTATATATTGTGAAGTTAGTTAAACAAGAATTCGAATGAATCCATACCAGCCGTCGCGTCTCGTGGCTGTGTTCATGGGATACCTAGATATTAGGATGTTCAAAAGACAAGAGAGCGAGAATAGTATGAGTGATTATCGAGAGAGAAAAATATGAGAAATCCCTGCTCGTTTTTTTTCCTTCTCTCCCAAGTGGTGGAAATGGACAGGAAGCCAGTCGAATCGTAACCGACTTGTGAACCTTATTCAGTTTCCACGTCTACTTGGTATGCGAGGAGGCATAAATATTTACAGTTCCGAGCAGAGTCAAATACTATTTAGCGGTCTTCGCTTTCCAAACGTCCGCCTGGCCTGTACGCTGCAGCGTCTGAGTTTACGTCCGAATGCCTGGACAGTCACCCTGCAAAAGTTTTACGCGCCGTAAAAAAAAAAATGTATTCCGTCCGTTTTCTTTTTTATAGTCGCCAAACCACAAAACCACCAAGAGCTCCTTACGAAACTTACGAATCAGTTTACACGTTGCGACGAGACGTACGATTCTCATGAAGATTATTTTTTTCATCCACGTACGATTCTCTCATTTGTTACCTGCTTACGTAGACGCACCAATTTTCCCTCAACTTTTCGAAATCATCCCCACGCAATCACCTACCCTCATTCGATATAACCGAAGCATTTCCACCCGCCGTGTTTTCCTTTCTCATTTCTTCCATGCGAAAACTCCTGCCGAGCATTTCAGCAGATCACTTTGTTCCGTTAACGGAAATGGTGGATTCCCGGTGTATCATGGTGGTAGCATAATCGTACACACATATTTGGACACACAGCTGCAGACCCAACACACAAAAGAGGGTTGCACAGGATATATCAACATATTGGTAACAGCGTGCGCTCAATAGATGGCATTGTGTCGCGCGGCAATGATCTCGTATAAAGTGGAACGTTAGGATTGACAATATATAAGGGTGGTGAAGTGTAGGAGCGACAGAGGGAGATGGGTGAAAGTCTATGACAACGTATACGACAAGAATCGAAAATTCTGTCAATCATATATACGTAGAGTTCCGTGATCGAAACTCAAGTGAAACGTGTACGGCTGGAGCGTGAAGGATGGAAGTCGCGATAAGGTGTCGCTGGCAGTCCACGTAAAGTACATGTAATCTAACCGAAATTCAAAATTACCAAATTCCCTGCACCGTATCGAATTACGCGGGTAGGTTATTCGGTGTTCGCACGTGTGTGCATATGCAGATCAAAGTGACACGTGTAAGTTGCGCGAACGAGTGTGCGTACGTGCATTTCCCACAGTCTCGCCGTATTGTCTTTGTGGCCTTTAACGTCCGTGCGAAACGACGCGCATCGGTTGGCACCGGGACGCCGACGACGCTACTCCACGACAATTAACGCAAACTCCTTCTGATCTTTCGAAAAAAAAAAAAGGGCGAAGAGAACTCATCGTGAAGTTTCGCTCTTGAAAAAGGCGTCGAACAGCCATTGTCACTGGTGGCCTCGAGCTCGAGGACAACCGAGCTACGTGTGTACAGAGTGACGGCAACAATGGCGCCAATAATGATGTTTTCAAAGTGGCGCGGGAGAAGAAGACCTCCCTCATTTGATATACAGGAAATTTCGAAGCGTGCCAATTTGTTATTACGCCTCGAATTTAGTGAACACGTCAATTGCCAGGAACGACAATTTCTATACTTTGAAGGAAACCGTACCTTGACATTTAGCGACAATTGTCGAGGACGGGGTTATTGTGAAATCGAGGAACGACGAGGAGTCGGACAAAGATTTCCTATTGGTGGCTTGCGTAACAAACAATGTGGCGATTTGGTTAAGAGTTTTCTTAGCTGAAATTCATGCTTGTATACATTCGTGTATATGCTATATGCGTGTAGGCGCGGTCATGCAGTGGCATCTACGCGGAATCGAATATTGAGAAACTTGTTGGTTTTGAAAGAATTTCAAGAGGCCACGTGTATTTTCCTATAGCTATAATGTCTGCTGGTAACGAAGCTGATTTCGTCGTTGCTGTGATAAGTTATCAGTGAGTTTAGAATGCAATACTTTGAACACGCCTTAAGACCAACAAGCCACAGGTAGACTTTTGTATAAAGTCTCGAAATTAAAAAACTGACTTTTAACAGGCATTAAAATGTTTTTAACCTACTTCAGGACGAATTAATTAATATTTTTCGGTTAATTTTCTATACTCGAAATTCAATAAAAACTTTCGGACCGACGAAGGTAACGAACCGCTCACGTGGCCGTGTCCATCGGTACGCGCGTGTAGGCGTGAGTAGCACGTGCGAAACGTTTAAGCCGCGCTAAATTTACGCCGTTTTTAATTAAATACGAGACACGCGTCAGAAACAAGGAGGAAGCGAGCGGTGCTGATCGTGCAGAAAGGGGAAGGACTAGGAAACTAATAATAATAATAATCCCGCGAAATAATGCACGAAACGAGCAAACTCATTCTCGTCCCGCCAAACAAAGGTCATTGTTCTCCGTAAGTTCGGTAAACTAGTCAATGACCATAAAGGAGATGCATAAATATTTGGAAAAAAGTAAGTCGAAACATCACGTGGCTACAAATTTTCAAGTAACACTGCAACGATACTCCGCTAGCACAGAGTTGAATACAATAGGAATTAAAAGTTTAATTGAACTGAGATACAGAGAAAGAATTGAACTTCGTAGCGAAAAGCGTGCACAGAATGACAAGGACGATAAATTAATAGTAGCATGTAGAATACAAAAAAAAATAATGCAGCAACGAACTGCGCGAAAAATCCTATGGAAACATTATAACTATGCCCGCGGAGAAAGCCTAGGATATGCAAAGGGCGCTAGAACGATTCGTTCCATCGCGAAGAATCATTCTCTTCACCGGGTTGAAACGTCAAATGATTTCATAACGACGCTTCGAAAGTAGTGAGACAGCGACGCCGCGATGCAAGTACAGTTAGAAAGTAACCTCGAGAAGTCAGCCGCAACTGGCTGCAACAAATCGTACAGTCGAAGCAGCAGCCGCGTGTCATTTTACACGGAACTCGAACCGAAATTGATATCAGCTAATAAAAACTTGCAGACTTCTCCTACAGGATCGTAGCATTACCTTGAGACTCGTGTATCCGTATGTAATTTGTTGAAAGCTATCGTGATTTTCAGTCCCGAAAGATACGAACCTACGGAAAATTCTATTTTTCATCCTTTGGTGTCTCTGACAGTAATAAAACACATGACGGGAAATAAAAGGGAAACACTTGTCATTATTGTTACAAGAGCTGATCGATAAATTCATCTGTGTGTCTGTGGTATCTTTTTCTTTTGGATGTTTCAAACTCAGCTGTCAATTTTGACTGTGGCGTATCAGTAAGAAAATATTATCTTTCAATCCGGTGTATGAACATCGGAGAGTAAGTCGATTATTAGTATCGCCTCTGAGGCATATAATGTATCTGTAGAAAATACAATGATCGTTAGAAGTAATCTGATTGTGAGAAGTTGTATCACGCTTCTTGGTTTCGTGAGACTTTTCGCGGCCAACGGAAAGTGCTTTCTCATTGAGTTGAAAGAACGATCGGGGTTTAAAAGAATAACAGAGAATAAGAAGCACTAGAAAAATACTACAGCATAACCTTAAAATTCATCCTAAAGATCAACCTCTCGCAATTTACTTTACGCAAGCAATGGTAACAGTAGTATAACAGTTATCTAGTCGAGAAACCGAAGAAAATTCTCTAATGTAACGGTAACTCATCCACCGCTAGCAAGAAGAAACCTTTTATTACTTATTATTACAGGAGCGATCCTGTAGTCGATTGAATGTCAGCTTAAAGAAAGCAATATGAGCAAAAAGAGACACAAGGTATTAAAACGTCATAGAAATACTTCTTGACGTCGTTACAATGCAGAGACAGGTCCGATTACAAAGCAGTGAGTATTTGGATGCATATCGTCGCAATGAAAAAGAATAAGTATAATTCGCGAAACTACATTTAAAGAAAATAAACGTGTAAACCACAGTAACAGAACAGTTAAAGAAACGACGAATGTATACGAAGGTAAGGGAAAAAAGCTGAAGACAGAATATGAAAAGTATTGAAAAATAAAAGCCGATAAACAAAGCCTCACGTCGCCGGAGCTCATAGCGGTCAGCACGTCGTCGCTCCGCGTGTTGGTGGCAGATCGATCGGAATTAGCGTCGCTGGCACTATCTCTCAGTGTAGTAGCGATGTAAATGAACTTTAAGTGAATGCTAGTGTAATGCACCCTTACAACAAGGGTAGACTGTGAGTCACGTTAGAAGCCAGCAACGTCATTGTGATAATAAAGTCATAACAAATACAAAGAACAAAATGGACACAATAATAACTATTGCGTGACCGTTACGTATACTCCACAGAATTCATGATAAAATTCATTTTTTAATGACTTTAATCAAATCTAACTTACCATTTCTTGACACGTCGAGTTCCACGAGGTTCTCAAAGTTCTGGATATCAGGAGGTAGTCGGTGTATCTCATTGTCACTAAGTCCCAGCTTCCTGAGCCGTTGTAGTCTGAAGAAGTTCTGTAAGAATGAACAGCATTCAAAGATATGAACAATGCACAGATATCTGCAGAATAAAGACAGTACCAGAAATTGTGTATTGGAATCTAAGAAAAAGGGGTTACATACAATATTTCAAAGTAATTGGGTACCACCCATTTGTCAGTACTCGATGTAGTTACAGTAGCACTTCACATTTAAACCAGACAGGAATGCTATTATTACTCATGTGAATAGAATCTCGCCTACCTTCGGCAAATCACGAATATGATTTGCATCGAGGAGAAGCTCCTCAAGACTTCTAGAGTATCTCAGGATGTCATCGGGTACGCTTGGCAGAGAGCAGTGACGCTTGTCAACGTATTCCACCTGCCTGTTACACCCTTTGAATATCGGAATGCAGCGGAACATGGCTTGTTTTTCTTTCTTTTGTTGCGTCCTTGTCGATCACGCCGTATCAGCACCGAACATAATTGCTCACGCGTTATTCGCATGCACTACGCACTTGATTATATTCTTTTGTTACACATTATTCCAAGACGATGAGGGTTATGAGCTTAGGAAAATGGGCGGCACGACACACACTTTCACGCCCTACTCGGCTTTAAACGCGCTCGGCTTGTGCCTCCTGATCTGACGTCATTGTGAGGCTCCAAAACGACACGGCGAGCGCAGCGTACTAACGACTATCCCCACCGAATGCTATACGGTTCTTCAACGACCTCTGCTGTGTAAATTCGAAGATAACTTGCTAGGGATTGTTTCAATATCGCCAACAATTCCAATGGAATTGAATAAAATATCTAGATGGTTACTGAATCGGTACAGAAATCGCTTTCATTGTTTCTATGTGTTATTACAAGATGACACTACGCGCATTTTACTAAATTTGGAATGCTGTAGTAAATATTTTATATTGGGTTTCCTATACATATATGTTAATATTTAGTGATATCCCTGTTTTTTTTGAGTTTTTTGATAAGGTCCTTCTTTTGATATATATTAAAACAGTATATACGGCGTTTATTTATTTTTTAATAGTCAATGTTAATGTTAAATGATATTGTTAGATTTTGATTGTCAAAAATTTGTATTTCTTAGATTGCTCAATTGTTATCGTGTAAAGTTAATCAGAGAATATTATTCATTGTTACTTGTAAAGCTTATCAATATTTATTATTCATTCCAGAGATCTCATCTCTGATTCATTCGAGCACTTGTTGGGTGAACATTACTGATAGTGCTGGAGTTGTTCCATATACCTCACATAGAAAATGAATCTTGCACTAGTATCTGAGTATTTGAATACATATCCTGGACGGGATAAAATGTTAAGAACTCTTTCGTATGTAGCTAAACTAGTTGCAGGATTATCCAAATCTCCAGAAGCTGCTGAAAAGTTCAAGATCATTGGAAGTCAGATGAGTAGCTGCAGAGTGACATTGAGGCTGCTCGATGATATTCCAATGTTACATTATGCCATGTCATATGGTTTAGGAAAACAAGTACGAATTATCATTATATAAAATATTGATTTTTAAATTAAATAAGTGTACATTGATTTTATCTCAAAAATATTTCATAAAACTGCTCTATTAAATTTAATTTACTTGTACCTGTTTCAATAAGAAGAATCTATGTTAAACTGATTTACAATCTAAACATATTTTTCTAGAGACAAGTAACAATAGGTATCTGATCTAATAGGAACCTGACTGGTTGATAAGATGGATGGAATTAATACAGATTGTAGTGGATACAATATTCTATCCTGTCGAACATATCTGTTGGGCAGGAGAACATAAGGTCATTTCAATTGATACATTGAAATGGGATGATGCAAGCACTTTGTTCTGGATTGTATCACTTTATCTGTCTTTATTCAAGTAAGTATAATGTAAAATATAGAAATATTTTAATATTTTATATTAACATTAGAAGAAAAATAAATCAGTTTTATTATATAGATCCATCCGTAGACTGAAGCAGCTTGAAAAACATAAAATGTGTTTAAGCAAAACAAATTGTGATGTCAGGTATATATAATAATGCTACATAAATAATTTTATGATAAATTTAAAGTTTGAATCATTATCATTTAATTTTAGGGTTACTATGGGACTAGTACAAGCACAACAGCGTAATGAATTATTAACTTCCCTGAGATTAGTTCTGGATGTGAGTTATGCTGTTAGCTACTTGCCATCTGGAGTTCTCTGGGGTGGCCGATTTAAAACCTGGCACGTAGGCGCACTTGGCACAATATCGTCTCTAATTGGACTGTATCAAGCATTTAGTAAACAAATAGCACAACAAAAAAATGCATCAAATAATCATCACATAATTTAATCCTTTAACGTAACATATATCATGTCTACATAAACTATTAATGAGACTCATTTTGAGAATTGTGTATGGAAATGATTGATGAAACATTAAAGAATTGAATATCACAGTTTCTTACTAATTTTTTTGATTTTGCCTTAAAACAAAAGGTCAATTAATGTATATAAAAGAACACTATTTTTGTTAATCAGTTTGGTGGCAAGTTTTTTTTTCCAACAATTAACAGTCATGTTTAACATAACTGAAAGTGAATGGAGTTATTTCTATTCGACTTTTTCCACGTAGAAAAAATGAATTAGCAAAGAACACTTTATTGCTTCCAACAAATTGGTCTGCATTACATATCAGGCTTCAACAGGGATATAATGTGAGGCTTAAAGCGTGACAAATCTTATTGATTTATCGAAGCTTCATCGATTTTGTGGGAACGAGTATATTATCTAATTATTATAAATTATCACCTTGCTAGCTTCCTCTAGCACATTATATATTGTACATATAGGTGTTAGTAAGTCGTTAATACCGTTTGTAAATGAAACGTACTACTTATTATAAGTTATTATCGTTAATTAAAAATTAAACAATCAGAGAGGCACTTTCTTCTTTTAACATAAAAAAAAATACTTTAACATTGTCCTCAATCGATTCGTGTTGGACCTATTTTTTTCTTTTAAAAATTTTTTTCTAAAGGAAGCTTGACGTTTTGCGTTCTGATAAACAGTTATTCTTAACAATATTTAAACGAGCACCCTGTGTGTTTGCATGTATGTCTGTTTGTGTGTGTTGCATTGTTTTTTTGTAACGATTTTAAAAAGTAATTCGTGTTTCCTTCCACTTTGTCGAATAAAAACTCATGCGGATTACGTTTAAAAGGCACGGCACGTTAAAACTTGGTAAACGAGATTTTTTCATCGAGTGAAAGATCTTTAAAAAATTTTTTTCTGAAATTCTCGTTCAAAGTTCAATTTTTTTATCTTGTTTTTTGATCTGCCGAGTATTGTCACGCAAGGCGCAAACAAAATTATCTCTTTCCTATATCTAGAAATACAGACGAATAATCTATATGCGATTTAAAATAATTACAAGCACACCAGTACATCGGTGTTAAATTTGTTTGCTTGCTTGCTTGGTAAAAATATTACGTCGGTAAACAACTATTTAGCATTTAAGAGCATTAATAGTGTACAGTTTGACGTAAGACGCATTAATTTCTTTTATATACCCCTTTCGCAATATTTGTTTAGTCTTGTGTTTGTTTCCTGACTTTTGTTTTTTCTTTTTGAAAAAGTAAAGGGCCAGTACACTTTACGATGAAGTATATATTTCGAAAAGAGATCGGGCCATTTTAAAAGGACCAATAAAAAAAGGCGCACCTCCACACATTAAACTAGCAACCATTTTACCGTTTTTTTGTTTTCCTTGTCCATATTCCATCACGATCTAAAGATCATTTCTAAGCAAACAAGCAGTCTATAATTGATGATAAAACTATTAATACGATTTTGCGGTTGTTTTTTTTTATAATTACGCCAGTTATTTTACGTTACAGATTTTGTTTACTTGCCGAGATTCACTAGCTATAATAATTTTTATAAATTGTTGTTCGATGCAATGGACAAGTTTAATTGATAAAGCCGTTCGTTTACGTTTTTAAAGATTATTCGCCATTTCGCCACAAAGATACTTGTCACAATCAAATATCGCATGCAAAACTGTACCACGAATATAATATTATATAAAATGGTACAGTATATTTTTTTAGCAATTTTTAAGCTCACCAAAAGTACTAAAAATTTACACGTCAATGTATTGTCAACGTCTCGTTTTAAGTGTTCTTCGTGGATCTCGTGACGTAATGGCAGTATACAATACACACTAGGATCGTTGAATAAGATTTTTTTTTTAAAACTGCAACGCACGCACAAGGCAAGAGACATGCGCAGCCGACAAGAAGTTTAAAATTGTACCGCGAAAAGGAAGGAAGGGAATAAATGTGAAAGATTAGTCGACAAACAGTAAAACATGAAATTAGAATGATAACGATGAGAATAGTAAGAACAAGCAAAGTATCTGCAAAAATTCTGAATTTTAATTAATTCAACAAAATCATATCAAAAAAAATTTGTGAAACATTAGGATGGGTGGGCGTGAATATTTTTTCCTTCAGGGCAGGGATGGATGAGGGCATTTGTTGAAAAAATATCTTTTGGAAACAAAAGACGCAACGCAATAATAATAATAATAATAATAATATCGTAACAAAAAATAAAAGCATAATCGGGATGGATGAGGGCATTTGTTGAAAAAATATCTTTTGGAAACAAAAGACGCAACGCAATAATAATAATAATAATAATAATATCGTAACAAAAAATAAAAGCATAATCGATTCACTACAATCCAATCCAGAATCGTAGACCGGGTACTACTCCATTTCGTCAACAGTTTAAACAGTCCAGTGAGCCACGAGCTCCGACTACTAATGGTATAATTTTTATAGCCATTTTGAGGCTTATAGCGTGTTTGAGTATCCTCCGTTGTTATTATTAATAATTATCGCCTCTGCACTGTACAATCTAACGTAAAACTATAACGGAAGGCAATACGATATATTAACTATCTTTAATTGGGGGACAAGTAGTGGGACCTATGATGGGATTTTAGTGGCCTGCTAAATCGGTGGTATCAATTAATAATAGCTGTACAAAATAAACGCAGCATCGCTTATCAATCATTTCGATGCAGACGCGGGCGCAACCTTTTGAAAAAATTGGAAGTAATTGATTTCAAATAGGAATTAATCGAAAAATCGATTCAATAATGGATATCTGTATGGTGGAAATTAACGAACAACAAAGAGGTCTGCGTTCAGATTCCACCGATCGCGAATACTTAATTATTTTTGTAATAATCTATAAATAATAATACGATGTTCGCAATGCCGATTAGAGAAATTAATTAATCGATTAATTAATTAATGATTGGTCGATTGGTACAAAGACAAATTTTTTTGTTTCATTTTTACGACGTCGTTATTCATTTTTGACTCGCCATTTTATCACGTAAAAAAGTATTGTCAGTATAAAAGTTTGATCTAGCCGACAATTAAACAAAACTTCGTACGCTTGTTTGTTTGGTTTTTTTTTCTTATACGTATCGATCGCCGCATGATCTGGCGTCGGTTTTAAGTACCATCGACAACTCTACTTCTTAAGGATAAAAAAAGAATAGTATTAACGAGTGAGAGAGCCAGTCCCTATAAATAATATGTACCAAATAAAAGCACTTTCGTTCACGGTGACGTCCACAACGCGGCGTCACTCGCGTTATACATAGGAACTTGAATTAATCACGATTCTTCCTATCAACTACCCGGCTTATCTCGCGATTGACAAATATAAATCGCACAATAATAACGATAACGAACAATTAATCGTTGTGCTGCCAACAACCAACTGCCAAATTAGGCATTTCTCTATTATTACTACTGCATCGTCAGACCAGCTGCCCTACGATAAAAACTCAGTTTGCACCGCACCGGAAAACAAATCACATAATAAGGTGCAACGTCCGTGCACGGAATAAGTAGTCAAAAAAAAAAAAAAAAAAAAAAA